AGAATTAGTCTCACTTAAATATTTCAGGAAGGAAAACACAGTTAAACTGAAAACTGGTACTTAAAAAAAAAAAAAAATCAGCCCGGAAATGTTTTTAGGACTGTGTCTATAAAAGTCCCCTGGGGGATGATTTGTCCTTCAGTACACTTCTCATGGTACTTGCTTTTACTAAAAAGCAACAGCCCAACACTAGGACTTTTTAAAGTCAGAAGCAGCGTGAAACTAGATGTAGAGGTACATGCGAACCACATCACCCAGAGGGCCAGCAGCAGCCTCTGCCCTGGGACGGACTCCAGGGAAGCTGAGCCAGCAACAAATGGCATCCTGTATCCCCCAGCTTCTCCTCCCATGTCATTCCTCTCTCTGGTCCACCCTCTACTTCCCATTCCCTTTCTGCCAAATACAGCTGGAAAAAAAGTCCTTGTACCAAGCCACCCAAACCAATTCCACATTATTTCAAGAGAGACCTTAAGACCCACACTTAATTTCTTTCTTAATTTTTTTACAAGAATATTAAAAGGTGGGCACAGTGGTGCACACCTGTAATTCCAGTGACTTGGGAGGCTGAAGCAGGAGAATCACAAGTTCAAAGCCAGCCTCAGCAACTTAGCAAGGCCCTAGGTAACTCAGAGAGACCCTGTCTCAAAATAAAAAATTAAAAGGGCTAGGGATGTGATTCAGTGGTTCAGTGCCACTGGTTCAATTCAGACAGAAGAAAAAAAAGAAAAAAGAGAGAGAGAGAGTGGGAGGGAGGGAGGGAGGGAGGGAGAGAGAGAGAGAGAGAGAACTATGTAAAATTGGGGCAGAACATTTAGAGCTGGGAGTTGTTTAGGGAATTAAAATTTTATTTCCTATAAATTTCACTATGTTCCTTTTTTCAGGTCAGAACAAGAGCAAAGGTAATTCACGTTCTACCCACAGGTAGCCAGACTCACTTTCTGATATAAGGTGAGAGGGGGAGGTGTTGGGCAGTCACCCTGGCTTGCTCTGTAAATCTAAGCTCTGTATGTAATTTCATCTCTGGGCCTTGGTTTCTGCATTTGTAATTAAGGAATGATATCACSTGTTTCCAGGTTTGGGGACGAGTGAATGAGGTGTCAGTTCTGTAGCTCATTTGGTGCTGACGTGCAGCCGGTGCTCAGAATTAATTTTTTTTAAAACTAGGTTATTGACTATACTTAAGGATAAACTCATCATCAAGGGTAAAATAAATACATAAATGAAAGTCAAATTTAAGAAGAGAAGGAAATGAGATTTTAAACGGCATACTCAAAATTGAAATATTTTTWAAAATTAATTATTTCAGACCAAAACACTTTGTAGCAAACTTGATCTGCAAAATACCACCTGCTTCCAAGCACAATAAACTCTCATGGAGACCTTTGTTTGAAATCCTAATCTAACATTCCAGTTGTGAATGTTTGTGATTCCATGTAATGAGCCCCAAATACAACAGTGCAGGGTACAGCTCGCACATGTTGGAGTGACAGCAAGGGATAATCAAGTTTTCTGCAAGAAAGACTCATGACATTAAGGGAAGATGTCACAGGATCCTCTCAGGCAGGTGTTGCATCTAAGGGAAGGTCAGCCCCCAAACCTAATAGGTACTGAAATTCAGGGAAGGTCTTTGTCAGACTGCTCAGCAGAACAGCAAGAAGTGGTGTAGAAGCTGTTGGCATGAAGGGGAGGAGGTACCATAACTCCAAAATATGAAACCCAGAATTATTTTCTGCTGAGCACAAAGCTAACAAATGGGATAGAAATAGAGCATAAGCAATCTCCTATTCAACTATTCCAAATTGGGTCTTTGGATAAATAAGATAGAGCTGTGATAGTCATGGGAGGAGGAGAGAACCAGAGAAGTCCACCAAGAGGATGAGGGTCTGGGCAGGAAGGCATAATCCTGGGAATCTGCCAGACCAGGATGGTTCTCTGGCAGTACATGAGCTGTACATGTCCCTGCACCTCAAACTTCCAGCTTATCACACACTTGTTGAACTCGTTTGGGTGGGTATCCCCTCCCTAGATGGTCCGCAGTGTAGACGGGAAGAAACACCACACTTACAATCAATGCAGAGGATGCCCCCTTGACCCTGATGACCTCTGCAACATGCTAGGATTAATTTCACCACTATGGCTTTTGTTTTTGTAAACAAATTGTGAAAGTCAAACTATTTCACAATTGAATATGTGTGATTTATACCAATTACTATACTAAAAAACAAACCATGTAAATGGATGAAGAGAAAAACTCAGGTCAAGCTCACACTCACCCATGGCTGGCATTCAAGCAAGTCTCCCAGAGAAGGGAGTCCATTTTCTTGCTTCTCTGCTGTCCAGCCTTGGGACAGTGCAGGGAAGCCCAGGGCGTGCTGCCATCTGCAGGCAAAACAGGACAAAAACATACGCCATGGCTCCAGTCGCCCTTTTGAAGCCCTCTCCTATCTTCAGCCCTGGAGGAAGACCAGGCGCATTTACACAATGCCAAGGTCAGCTGAGCCAACCATGGTTTGTGCCTGGTATCCCACCACATACAGCACAGTCAGCCCAAACTCTCAACCATGGATTTAAGGATTTCTTAACAGCAGTAGCATGTTCTCACACAGGGCTGCTGCTGTCAGACACTGCTCTGAACCATTTACTTTTTTAAAAATATTTTTTAGTTGTAGATGGATGCATTGCCTTTATTTATTTATATTTATGTGGTGCTGAGGATCAAACCCAGTGCCTTACATTTGCGAGGCAAGTGCTCTACCACTGAGCCGTAACCCCTGAATAATTTACTTTTATTAATTTATTTAATCCTTCCTGCAACAGGTGAATGTTGAAGGTCCCCACTGATTTGATTGATTGTTGAATGAGGCTGAATAATTAAAATGAAGAACTTGATAACACCTGATTCCCAAGAGAGGCCCACAATGAAAACCAAAGGAGATTCTGAATATCCTGCAGATCATTCATCTCTAGATATTTATCAAGTGCCTATTATGGACTGGATGCTGCCCTGGGTCTTGAGGAGAGCTGTGCACAAACAAGATAGCGTCCTTGCTTTGAGAGGGAATGTCCATTCTAGTGGAGGGAGGTGACGATAGAAAAGGCAATGAATGATGGGCAGAAGAAAAAGTGGGGTGAAGGGGGCAGAGAGTGATGGCAATGCTGTTAATATTCATTCATTTCTTTTTATTCGTTCCAGGTACTTACTAACCATATCATTTCTGGCCCACAGCAACATGCCAGGCGCCTTGCCAGAGTTGCAACTGTGGGCAAGAAATAGACTGGTTCCTGCCTGTATGGAATACTTACATAAGGAACATTTGATTAATCAAGTAATCATGGCCCTTGCCCACATGGAGGATTTTCACAAGAGGAACATTTGATGTTAACCAAATAAACACCTTAACACATGCAAAGATGTTCAACTATGGTAAGTGTGATGGAGGAAGGGCACAGAGTCCCTACGAGAGCTTCTGGAAGGGCATGCTCTTGGGTCTGAGGCAAAGCCTGGAATGCAGTGTGGGGAGAAGCAGCAACATGGTAAAAAGTGTGCCAGGCACACAGGCTGGGCCACGGACAGTAAGTGGGGAGAGAAGGCAGGGTAAGGCTGGAGAAGGGGTGTGGGCACTCCCAGCCACAAGAGTAGCTGGAGTCTTATCCTCTGTGAACTGAAGCTCCACACAGGGTCTCATGGAGGGAGTAGTGTGGTTGGATGTGTGTTTTTAAAAGATTATATTAGGTGGTAGGCTGAAAAATGGCCCCACCAAAAAAGGAAATGTCTGCACCCCTGGAGGCTGTTGTGTATGTGTCCTCTTATAGGGCAAAAGGGCACTGTGGATGTGACTAAGTTAGGAGTCTGCAGATGGGGAGATTATCCAGGTATATAATGACAAGAGTCCTTGAAGAGGAAGGCAGAGGGACATTGACTACAGAATGTCAGATTGATGCAGTGTGCAAAGGACTCTTCGGCTCTGAAGACAAAAGGAAGGGGCCATGAGCCAAGGAATGCAGGTGGCCCCTAGAAGCTGGAAAGGGTAACAAAATGATGCTCCTCTAGAGCTTCTAGAAAGAAAGAGGCCCTGCTAAAACCTTCATTTCAGGATTTCTGAGGCCCAGAACTGCAAAATAGTGATAAGGAGACTTTGTTACACAGCACTACTGGCTCTTGTGAAAAACAGACTGGGAGTAAGGGGGAAGGGGAAGCAGGAGCAGTCGCAGGCCACTGCAGCGTCCAGGCAACAGGGGTGAGAGCTAGTGGCATGGCAGTGGCAGAGGGGAAGAAGAAGTGTGGTGGAGCTGAAGGACTCAGGAGGGAGAGAGGTCTTAATGGAAGCCACAGCAGGCCTCTTCCAGGCTCAGCACTTGGCCACTGTTTGGGGACCCGATACCTTTACAGAAGGAAACAGCAGAGCACCAGGGTTATGAGACCACTCTATTTACTCACTCACCTGTGAACCCCGTTTCCACAGAGGAGCCCAGGAATCTCCAGGAACAGATCTAAGAAATAACACTTGTGGAATTTTTACTAGGCAAAAGGTGGCAATTATTTCTGCCAAGCATTAGGACCTGCAGTGAATTCTTCTTTTCTTTTTCTTTTTTAACCTTTTCCTGAAAAGGGAATTTGTAATTCTGTAAAGAAGGTATCTAATTTGAAATATATATACATCTTCAACTCAGGTGATGCAGAACCATGATTATATACAACGTCTGGAAAAATCATGGTCAGTGGAAAGTAGAATAAGCAAAGAAAAAACAAATAAGAAACTAGGAGGCCTTCTCTCAGCATCTACTCCATTCCTAATATAATGAGCCACATACTTAAAAAGTGGGGTCCTAATTTGGTTCTGCCTAGTGGGACGGTTGAGAAGAAAAAGCAATGGTAATGATTTAAGAAAATTTTGGAAATACTCTCTGTTCTACTCCTGCAGCTTAAATATACACCCACCAAAACCAAGTGCCTTGGAGTGTAATGAGAGCTGACAAGGGAGTCTTGGGATACTGTTCCCCTGTGGCCACAAAGACCTAACTAGAGCATGAAAGGACCAAGGAGCACCTGCAGAAGGCAAAATACCAGGCAAGTAAGTACTACCTTAGGTAGCAAAATAACTAAAAAATAGATATATGTGTTTATTACTCTTTCTAGTGACAAAATTGACATATGTCCATTACTGAAAAATGTAAAAATCTTCTCTGATCCCAGTCATCTTGAGATAACCCATTTGGAAATATTTTCTTCCAGTCTTTCTTTTCCTAGTGATTTTTAAATGTGGTGTGTGTGTGTGTGTGTGTGTGTGTGTGTGCACTCACACAATTTTTTTTGGTTAACAAAGTATGCATATATATACTTTATTTTTAACAAACTCGGGATGCTGTATACTCTTTTTTGAGTTTATAAATGAACTGTCACTAAATATGCTTTTTAATATTTTGTAATATTCCATCATATGAAGGTATCATATGGGTAATTTCTAACTTTATAATAATATAAATCACACTGGGAGTGACATTTCATATGTAGGCATGTCCCTGATTTAAATCTGTCTATACCTCTAATTATTTCCTAAGAGTCATTGTTCCCACAACCATGCATTGCCATTACTATTTTGCCATAAATACCATCTGTATTAAATTTAACATTTCTCTTTAAATCAACTAATTTCTGTCCTTAAATAAATATATTTTAAAGTACATCCTATTATAAATGGAAAAACAGCATTTTTTTTGCCACAAAAAGGCAAAACAAATACAATCTATTAGAATCAAAACACTATGGCTAAAATGGAGTTAAAAATACTGCTATCCCTTTTTGCTCATTCTTTTATTTCAGATGGAAGATTAGGCAGGCTTGGAAAGACCTAATTTTAGACACACTGGCACCAAGCTGAGGTTTGTCTCCTTCCCTTGATCAGAAGGTTCAGGAGGAACTGAGCAGGAGAATGACCTTCTCTCTGTGCAAGCCAGTGATGGACAGTGTGGCACATGTGTCCCCCACAGAATTACCCTGCAGGACCTGGCATAGCTGTGCATGGGAAATGTGTCTTAAGAGATACTCCTGGAAACAGAATTGGCATAAAAGGTAGAGAAAGTTTAAAATACTTTTGACAAACTGAGCCTGAACATTATGCACAGTGTTTACCATAGTTTTACTGTGGGAGTGCCCATTTCACTTCAACCTCATAAATGCTAAGTATTATAAACAAAAATATTAAAATAGTTAAAACTTTTAAACTTTTTTAGTGTAAGGTAGTCAGCAGCTGAATATTTTAAGGGCTATTTTCATCTTTCTCTAGCCAGTCCCTGATCCTAGGGTAAGGTTATTATATGAACCTTCTGTTAGTGGTCAGTTTACACAAACTGATATTATGCTTGGTTTATGCAAGTGGAACTAAATTTGGTATAACATGAGGAAGTGACTTCAGCATTTGCAAATATTTCAGCATGTCTTTGTGCCAGCAAAGGTCAACTGAGGATCAGAACAGCATGAATTCCAAAGAATGCTTTTGAGAAATAAGAGCCCCAGAGAAGCATTACTCACAAGATATAATTCTCTACAAATCTTCAGTTAAGTCAATGAAAATGCTAGGAGAAAGACATTTAAACTTTCCTATCCTACTGTAATATGCAATCATACAAAGAGGTTACAGATGACTAAAATTTCTAAAACAGAAAAGGAAAAGCATATTCTGAAGCATAGAGAATTAATAACAATTGGAAGCTTCCAGATTATTTTTTAAAATTCCTATATGTGTATATGTGTCTGTTGGGGAAAGATGAGGAAGAGGAGAGGTTCTCATGTTTGGAATGAGGTTATAGATTCTAATTTTTGCTACTTTGATATTTGTCAGATTTAGGACTTCTAAATCTCTACAGAAAAAGAAGGAAGATAGAAGAAACAGGAAGGGCAAGACACCTTGACCAATTCAGAGACATAAGGAAGAAGAAAAAGAACTCATGACAAATAAATGGTAACACAAAATGCCATTAATAAGACCACAGTTACCAGTGATCAAAATAAAAGCCAAGTCTTTCAACCTAAAGCCCATGAATGGAGGATGGATAAATTATGGYACTCCATTTTTAAGGTGTATATGTGTGGGGGAGCATAGATGACAGAAAGAGGTCCATGACTCCCATAATTCGGAAAGTTGTAGAATAATGTTTGTACAAGATAGGAAAGGGTCCAGAAAAACCCAACAACATTCTAACTGGGGTAGCCCTATGGAGAGTGGGTTCACAGGTGGCCGGAGTGGGCTTCTCCATCTCACTTTACAAATGTCTGCCCCATGTGAATCTACTAAGAAACTCATGGGGCCAGAGAAATGTGAATAAATGAATAATGAACACAAGAGAAGATTCAGCCAAATGGGAGATGTAGAGGATAAAAAAGAAAGCTGGTTAACAGAACCCAAAAGTATTTATTTGAAAATGGACAAAGCTCTAGGGAGACTATTAAGGATAACTGACAGACTTTAAAAAAAGACTTGAAAAAGGAGGAAATGACAAATATAACAGATGTTTAAAACTTTTAAAATAAGATAAACGACTGTGATGATACATTTTAAAATATAGATGAAATGAATAAATTTCTAGAAAACAAAAGTTGCTAAAATGACCATTTAAGAAATTAATATAGTTTAAAAATTTCTTCCCCAGAAAGTCTCAGGCCCAGGTTTTACAAGTGTAACCTACCAACTTCCAAACTATTTCTCTCTTAAATGAATTTTATCCAGAAATAGAAAAAAGAAGAAACATTGTCCAACTTAAGGTTACTATAAACTGGTGGGAGGAGGAATCACCTCATCATCTTGCCAGATACAGAATGAGCATTTGATGCTAGTTCAATGCTGAACATGTAACACAAAAGGAAAACAAAATTCTCAGAGCTATGGAATTAAAACAAAGCCATGTCTTTTCTACCACCTTCTTTGTTTTATAGCTTGATTAGTTTAAGTCACCACGCGTAATAAACTTTGTTATTACATTTTTATTAGAAAGTAATGCTTAGGATTTTATTTCTTTTCCTTGGGATTTCAGGTCCTCAGTAAAGAAACTTCCTTTACTTGATAAAGCCTATTTTCTAGGAACCCATAACTAACATCCTACTTCACAAAGAAACTATGTATTCTCTTTAAGAAATGGAACAAGATGAGGATGTCTGTTGTCACCACTACCATGTAACAGAGTTTCAGAGACAGCGGCCACTATGAGGAGATAATACAAAAGGAAAACAAATATAAAATTGGGAGGGGCAAAAGTTTTCAGTGTTTGCAACTGATATGATTATTTAATAGGAATCTCAAGAGAATCCACAGAAAAACCGTCAGAATGATTAAGAGACCAGAAAAGGTCAGACTCTATGGCACACACCTGTAATCCCTGGGACTTGGGAGGCTAAGGCAAGAGGATCACAAGTTCAAAGCTGGCCTCAGCAACTAGTGAGGCCCTACGCAACTCAGAGAGCTCCTGTCTCTAAATAAAATACAAAATAGGGCTGGGGATGTGGCTCAGTGGCTGATTTCCCCTTAGTTCAATCCCTGGTACCAAGAAAAAAAAAAAAAGAAGAAGAAGAAGAAAGAAAGAAAGAAAATACAGAAAAGTAGCTGGATATAATAACCCACTGAAAACGATTACATTTCTCAGTACTGACCCACTAAAAAAGAGAGAAATATGCATACAAAATAAGATATCACAATTGTAATAGTACTGAATCTAACAATTATCTTAATAAAACAAGTAAAAGCTCAGTAGAGAAAATTTTAATATTCCATGAAAATACATAAAGGAAAGCATGAATAAACAAAAAGAAACATGGATGAAATTTTTTGTCATTCAAAGATATTAATTCTTCCCAGATCAACCTATGATTTCAATTCAATTTCAGTCAAAATTGCAGGAGAACTTTTTGTGAAATATCTCAATAGAGTTTCTGGAAGAACAGAAGTAATAAGCTAAGAAAAATGGAAGAATAACAAAAAAGTAAAAGCATATTACAAAGGAATAGTCATAAAAACAAAATCCAATTGGATTAAAATTTAAATGTGGAAGAAAACAAAGTTAGTAGAAGAAAATATAGAAAAAACTTTTTATGATCATTAGTCAGGTAAGGATTTATTAATAAGACACAAATAGAAAGAGCTAAATGGGGGCAAATGATAGCATATACAGATTTCTGTTTTTTTTTTTTTTTAATAAGTGGATCACAGACTTAAATGTAAGAGTTTAAAGTATAAAGCTGTTGGATTCACAGGCCTAACTTTGAGTTAGGTGACGATTGGTAATTCATATATATGATAAAAGATATGAAGAACTCTTATAACTTAATAAAAAGACAATCCAATTTTAAAAGTGGGCCTGAATAGAAATTTCTGCAAAGAAAACATACAAATTGCTAATAAGTGCATAAAAAGACTCAACATAATTAGCCATCAGGGAAGCACACATATGCACACACACACACAAAAACAAAAAAAAAACAATCGTGAGCCACAACTTCACACCTACTGGGATGGCTATAATAAGAAAGACAGCCAATAACCATTGCTAGTGAGAATGTGGAGAAACTAAAGCTCTCATGCACTGGTGGTACAATTGTTCCATGGTGTAGCTGCTCTAGAAAACAATCATCTGGAAGTTTCTCAGACTTTATTTTTATGTTTTAATACATATGGAACACATTGGGCACAGAGGCACATGCCAATAATCACAGTGACTTGGGAGGCTGAGACAGGAGGATTGCAAGTTTGAGGCCAGTCTCAGCAACTTAGTGAGGCCCTAAGAAACTTAGTGAGACCCTGTCTGAAAATAAAAACTAAAAGGGTTGGGCACATAGCTCAGTGGTGAATTGCCCCTGGGTTAAATCCCAAGTACACCCCCACCAAAAAAACATGTACATGTATAGAATACTTCACTAATTTCTGCATCATGCTTATAGAGGGACCGCACTAATCTTTTTGGTATTGTTCCAAATTTAGCACCTGTGCTGCTGGAGTGAGTACTTCCTCAGAGTTTAAACAGAGGTGCCATGTGACCCAAGAATTCCACTTCTATGTAAATACCCAAGAGAAATAAAAACAGAGGCTTTCAATAGAAACTGTCAGTAATTCCTCAAAATGATGAACACAAAGAAAAGAGGAACGGTATCCCATAAATGTTTTCTAGGCCTTACAGAAAACATGGGGTTATTCCTTTGGCCATATACAGGCGAATCTACAAGAAAGGTGAAATTATAGACATCAGAGGAATGAGTACTGTTCAAAAAGGAATGGCCCACAAATGTCACCATAACAAAACTAGAAGAGTACAGTGTTACCCAGCATGCTGTTGGCAGTGTTGTAAAAAAACAAACAAACAAACAACAAACAAAACAAGTTAAAGGTGAGATTCTTGCCATCTAGAGAATTAATGTGCACACTGAACCTGTTAAGCAGCCTACGAGCCATTATAGCTTCTCAAAACTTGGAGAGGAAATTGAAGAGAAAAGTGCCTGGGTTMAACTGAAGCACCAGCCTGCTCAGCCCAGAGAAGCACAATTCGAGAGAACCCATGGTAAGGAGGCCGAGCTGCTGGAACCTGTTCCCTATGAATTCACGGCATAATAGGGTAAAAACAACAGTAACAAAAGATTCCTGGAGTGTAAAAGATAAAAGAAAGAAGAAAGTAAATGTCCACAGAATACTTGTAAGTGAATATTCATAGCAGCCAAAAAGTAGAGGCAACCCAAATGTTCAATAAGGAATGGCCTTATTGAACTAATGGATGGATAAACAAAATGTAGTATATCCAGATGATGAAATATTATTGGGCAATAGAAAGGAATAAACTAATACATGTTATGATGTAAATAAACCTCAAAACCATACGGCTAAGTGACAGAAGCCAGTCACAATAGCCACACATTGTATAATTATATTTATAGGAAATTACCAGAAATATGTAAATCTATATAGACAGAAAGGACAGTAATATCTACATAGAGCTGGGGAGGGAGATACTGAGGAACATTGGACAGTGACTGCTAATGGGTACAGGGTTACTTTTTGGAGTAATGAAAATGTTTTAAAGTCAGATGATGGTGATGGTTACATACATCTGTAAATACCAGAATAAAAACCAGTGAATCACCATAAACTATAAACAGGTGAATTTGTGGTATATAAATTACATCTTAGTAAAACTATTAATAGTGATAATACTAAAAGGGAGACTAAAATGAAGCTAATGGATGACGAGATGAGGAGAAGACTTAACCACCTATGTCTTGACAGAGGACTACCATTTTAATACACGAAGATATTAATATACAAAATGCAAACCATGTAGAAAAACATCAGAAACCTAAAAGCAAAGAAGCACAAATAAGATAAACAGGCAATTCACTAAAGGAAAAAATGATATGAAGAGATGCTCAATTAAAACAAAAAAGGAGAAATGTAACATACCAGATTTAAAAAATGAGTAAATGAGATAATAGTAAATATAGGCAAATGTTGGAAAAGGGACTCTTCATGCACTGCTGGTGGGAGGAAATTGCTGAAGCCATTCAGCAGCACAAAGTGGCAAGTTTTAGTAAGGCAACATGCAAGCATCCTAGAAATCAGCTATGTCATATCTGCCTTATTTGTCTGACCATCCACCCATCCACGTTTCCTTCCTTCCAGACATACATACATACATCCCAGAGAATCTCTTATAACAACAGAAGGAAACAACTAGATTTAAATACAGTGAAATGAATTGACCAAAATGCATAATGCTAAGGGGGAAAAATGCAATTTATAGCACAATGGTGTTTATTCAGGTAAGCATAACAACCAAGCAAAACATAACTCATTTTTCAAAGATACACATACTTCTAAAGCATGTATAATGAAAGGTTTGGGAGGACAAATAGCAAATATGCCCATTTAGTATGGCTACCTAAGATGGAGGAGGAGGTGTTGGGAGAGAGATGGAGGATAAAGGAGGAAAATAACAAAATAAAACAAAAGGAAAGAAGGGTTCTAGAC